ATATATATATATATATATATGTGTGTGTGTGTATATATTATTATTATTACATGTATTAAGCACAACACACGCAAACATATACACATATTTGTGTGAAACAGAGGCCTGTCAGTTTTTACGAGATGTAGAATCACTGCAGTAGCTCATGTTGGCTGGATGGGCTTATCACTCTATGAAATTGCGCTGAAACGTTGGTAATGAACTACATATGTGTATTTACGTATTTATGCTCTATCATCCATCACTAATGAGTGTTAAATGTATAGTGTTTTTACTAATCTTACTAGTCTACACCAAGTACTAAGCTAGGCTTTAGCCTGCACAATTCCAGGTATGCTCTGTGGTTTCTATTCTACAAATAATGAAATCCTGACAGGCATTAGCTTCTGCAATGTTTTTTCAATTTTCAGAATCTGCACAGTGCTTTAACAATAGGGGAGATTACTTGGCAGAATGATAATAATGAATCTACAACATTGGCAGCAGTCAAAATGCTGATTGAAGGTATATTGTAATTTATTATATAATAGTTAATAGCATGTACTAGTGTTTTTTCTCGCAATTTTAAAATATTTTAGCTCGTGCATGTATGTAAAAATGATTCTTTCAAAGATATGAAGTCTCTATAGATCTTATTAGGTCTCTATAACTTGCCAAATGGCAGCGAATCTGTAAGAGCATGTGGATACGGTTCTGTTACCCAAGCTAAATTACCTTCCTCAAGAAAGAACGGAGTGCTTGTGATAGATACATGAAATTAAATTCCACAATGAACACCTGTATATATATATAAATATATATAGGCCTATAGTGGGGTTTTTAGTAACATTCTTTAGAACATACATTTCTAACATCAATTTAGTATGATATAACAATTTCTGCTTACAGAATTTGATGTCAGATTAGACAATACACGGAAAGAAGAGAAAGATGATTTACACAATGACACAAGACAGCTTATGTCCGACTCGAATGCTATGCTGCAAAGGGTCGATCTCGACTTCACAGACAAGCTCTGGAACATACTCATTGGTGTGACAAGTTGCCTGAGCTGCTAATGCAGGGTTCGGGTCTACACAATTATCTTGCAAGGAGGGTCCATGCAGAAAATTCTTTTCTCCGATTTTTTTGCTGGTTTGCTGGAAGAAAATTCAGTAGACCCTCACCTCGTAGTGCAAGTCAATGCATCTCATTACAATAAGTTTAAGTACAGCAAGTTGCCAGAGGAAAAAATAATTATAGTTGAATCTGTGATTCATCAGATTTCAGTTAGTATGATGCACCACTGGCATTGAATTTATTTTCTCACTCTGAATTCTTATTGTCCGAAATATTGTTATAATAGAAAATCTTCACTGTTTATTTACCTGATCACTCCAACATGTTATTTCAGCCTCTGTAAGTCATCTGCTTTTATATTACATGTCAACTTTTCGTATGGGAGAGCCATGTTAATGGTTTATCATAAATCCTTTATAATAAACTTTTTTTACTGATGTTTGGTTTTAACAGAATCGTCATCATACACAGAGCTCCTTGACAGCTTCAGAGAAGTATTCACAGCCTTGCAAGCTGGACATATTGAACCAATGGTATGGCTAAATATATCTGCATTGTTACAGCTCTACTAGTACACAAGAATTTGCTCAGAAGCAAATAAATTACCTTTATTTGTTGACCTTTGTTTGTTAAAAGGCATATTTTGTTAGTTTTAATAAATGGCAAAATATTCACTGATCATAAACAGTAAACATGAAATTAAATCTGCTAAACCCTAATACATTATCTTTCTGATATTTGTTCAGGAAGTTTTAATCTGTTCATAATAAACAAAAAATTAAATGAGAAAAGTGGTGACCTGTACTTTTCCCATCTCTACATATTGACTAACCCTGCACGAGATGACGCAGAATACGTAAAGTAGTCAATGAAACTGATCTACACTTATTCAGATTTAGGTATTACTGCTTTGCGGGTTCTTCACAGAAATAACATAAGACAATTATTCAGACTATTCTATATGAATTCAGATTCATATCTTCATGCATTGCAGGTTAATCAACGAAATAACACTCAGCTGGCACGCTTGGTGCGTGACTCCTACAGTGGCAAGATGGCCACCCCAGACCTGACAGGTGCACTACCACTGCAGCTCCTCCTGGAGATTGGAATCGAAAAGCTTACCGTTGACTACGTCACTGCCTTCCTAGGTAGAGAGCGTTGCACCATTCATTTCCTCCCAAAGATTTTGTTGTTGTTAAAATTAAAATAATTGTGTGCTTTTGCGACATTGACTAAAAGAATGGTTTGCTGTTATAGAACTACACAGTGCCGTTACCCAAAAGAATTGCGTCCATTTCTGCCATTACCTGAAAAAATTGCCAAAGATTTTCTGAGTTTAATAAGTCAAACTACGTTTTACGTTACAACGGCCATTTTCGATCGCAATTACCGGAATCGGTTTTTTTACGTAACGACGGCGATTTTTGATCGCGTCGTTGCCACGGTCGCTTCCATTGTCTTGTCGCCTCATCCGCAGCCACGGAAGTCGTGCACCTGTTTGACCTTGACTACTACCTGGCGACGAGTCGCGCGGACTACGGCTGTCAGCTTCGCGTCACTGAGAAGCTGCACGCTGTCGCCGAGCTGCTCGTCCTCTGCAAGGTGTTCCTCGAGCTGCCCGACAAGCAGCTGGGAATATTCGCAAGGTGTGTGTGTGTGTGTGTATGGGGGTGGGGAGGGGAGAGAGAGAGTGTGTGTAGGGGAGGGGGGGGTGAGTGTGTGTGGGTGTGTTGTGTGTGTAGGGGGGTGGGGTGAGTGTGTGTGTGTGCATTCTTCCTCGGGCTGCCTGACAAGCAGTTGGGAATATTCGTGAGGTGCGCATGTGTGTGTGTGTGTGTGTAGGGGGGGGGGGGTCCGTGTGCGTGCGTGCATGCTTGTTAGTGCGTGCGCACTTATGCATGCATGTGTTTGTTTGTTAGTTTGTGTATGTGTGTAGGTGCATGCGTGTGCGTTCATGCGTGCATGCATGAGTATCCGAACCATACATCCACTGAATACTGAATTCCAAACTGTTGGCTCCTGAACGAAATTTTGTAGAAACGGTCCAAAGTGGAGTATGTTTATGAATGGGGACTCCTAGTACTTATTTACCGTGAAACTGCTGTCCTTGAGTGTGCTTACTTCTGAATTTGAATACTCCAAAAATGAGACTTGATTTAGCTTCATCATAGACAGTCACCCTTCCTGGAATTTCATTCATGTCTGATTTTTAAAACCAATCAGATTTTACTTGGCATGCCTAGCCATTCATTAATAATCGGGAATACATCGGCAATGAGGGTTAATGCTTAGCGAAGGTCGGAGCGAAACGCTTTACTCTGTAAAAGCGTAATCTAAAAATGGTCATTCCAGAATATGAAAACGTTTTTGAGCAGTGTTGTCAGTTATTAATCTTGTGTATCAATTTTGCCCTCATGCAAATTTATTTTCTGAATTTAGGCATGCTCTTAAACAAATGGAACATTCGGATGATGAGGAACCAGAATTTACAATGCCGTTACCTTTCGAAAACGTGATGTCAAGCTGTCAGTCGTAAGTTGCATTAATAGCTCTTCTACCCCTAATTTAGTTACTTGATTATGACAAATCATGTTTGATGTAATGAAAGTATCTGGTTATTTGTCCCTTGACAATGCTTGCTTTTTTGGTTACTTGGCAATTAGTTACAATGAGTACGAGTGCATTCTTATGCAGTTTTCCTATTTGAATGAGAATAGCATTTTTTAGCATGTAAAGATATGTTTCATGTTGTTTTGAAAACAGTAAGACACGGAAACGATCTACATATTAGATAAAAACACATATTACAGATTATATCACTGTATATATTTGTAGTTGAATTTCTAGTGTAACATAATTGTGCATACAGCAGTAGAATTCCCCTGAGTGTATCATAGTACATTAGTTCTTGTGCTGCTCTCTTCTTAGGGATGCACCAGCGATGTGGGGGATTGAAGTAAGCACAGAGCGTGACCAGCAATATCTGACTACACGCTATGAACTCAGTACAGCTGTCCCGTTTCCACACATGTGGAAGGAAGACGCAGGTAAGCATTATGGGTGCTATATAGGCAGGCAAGACAGGCACGTGTAACTGGCAATTAAGCCTTAATTAGTACACTGTGCCTCCTCGATGCAAGAAATACAGGCTGGTGGACTGACATTTTTGCCTGATTTATGGGATCGCGCAAGATTAGGATTAATACAAAGGTGTTTACTAGAGCAGCCTGCAATTCATTGTAGTGAATGTCATTTGTTAAGGACACCGGGTTTTTGCGAGTTCATCCATTTGAGATCTGTAATTCTACACATGATGCTATGCTTAATGTCACATTGATGAAATTACATCCTTAAATATTTCAAATAGTATTCATACTACGACCAAAATTAACATCTATCCCTGAGAATGATTCAGCTTTGACACTGTTTGGCAAAGCGCGAATGATATTACAATTGGTGGCACTATTATTTGTACGTTCAAGAGTGCCTACGTATTTAACACAAGTGTACATTAGCTCGTAAATACAACATTTGCAGAGACAGGTGGCAGCAGTACGCGTCACACAGATGGAAGAGATGAGGATGTGAGGTATTTCTGCACTCTCATTCGGCACAGCCACATGCAATTTCTTTAAAAAAAACTTTCAAGTATTTAAATTAATTAATTAATTGTAACTATTTTGAAATACATTCACAGCTAAAACAATTATTTGATAGGTGATATAATGGCTGTAAGTTTCTGTAAAAATATTCAGAATATCACCACGTATTTCAGCACTGGATATCGTCTTAAAAATAATTTTGAAAAGTTACCTTATTCTGGAAATGAATTTGAACATGAAGTATAAGTAAATTAAGGTGTCTGCAAAATTTTCCCCCTACGTGGTAATTGATTGCTGCCAAGATAACCCTGGTATATAAATGATATGTATTTTTACAATTAATGATATATGTGTACATGATGTGTTATTGGTTATTAAATAGCAATTATAAGGCTCTATAAGGTATCCTGTTGTTTTGCATTAGTATGATAAATGTAGCAAATTCGATGCAATCTTCATAGGTTATCGCTTCCTTAAATCTTGCATCAGTCTTCCCTACAATATAAAAAAATTAATCATGAATAAAAACAATTAATCATTCAATCCGATTCTTGGGGAGCCTTACAATTAGATAGCTATATTGTTTTTATGTTAAGATGCCGTACACAATAATGGTAGATTGTCTCCCGTGATCTGGTGCGATCTGGCCGGATTTTGCTGCGTCTTGCTCACTCTCAGATATGCCCTTGTCTTCTACTACAGGATCCATGCCCACCTGCACATATTACAAAAAAAATGTTAGTTAGCATTTACGTGAAAACGCCGCCTTTTCTGTACTAAACTCTCTTTATATGATTACTGAATGAACTTAATGAAGAATGTGATAAAACTACGTCACAATAACCACGTTGTCACTATTAAGAATCTGATCAGTGATCAGCTCATACACTTGTACAACCAGATTCTGGCACGTAAACATTGTATTACCATTGTCACCATAGATGTGAGCACATTTTGATCTTTCGAACTGCCAAGAGTCATATTGGCCTATAAGTAGATTCATTTATTATATTATACACATATCACGTGTAAAAGAAAGATGTTTAATTTGTGTGTTACCTTTTCTAACACCGTGGAATTCGTTTACACTAGCATTTCGTTCAACATCTGTTACTCCAGTTATCCTTTCACCTTCTCCTGGTACGGGTCGGTTCTGTTAATGTTCTGCTTTCCGAATTCCTACTTGCCTTTCCCTGGCGCACATATTCATCACATTGCTTCCTACAGTCCTGTACACAATTGGATCATAGTGGATTACGACAACATGACACATATATTATGCCACGTGACATATTAATCAATCAACAATGTTCAAGCCAAGCCTTCAACACTTACTACAATTTGCTTGCAACATATAATGTACCGTAGGTATGTATGCACACTATATCACACATAAACTTATAGCCAAAATGTGGCTATCAGATTATTAATACAACATGAAGCGTAACTGCAGACTGTTGTATTGTTACCTATAACCCGATTGGTTTTGTTTTCGTTGTAATTACCTGTGTGTGCCTGTTTTTATTGTTATTATACAGGGTGACAAAAAAAACTGCAAAACCCAAACAAGTGTTAATAACTTTTTTGATATTGATGTTAACCCTTTCCATTTTTCAGATTTAAATGAGGTGATAGTTTGCCATATCAGATTAGAATCAAGAGGTTTTTCAAGATGCCTTGGACTTGTCTTCGACTAGAAAATCATATCTGGTCCGTGCGAACGTACTTTCGACACACATCGTTCAAAACATGCTACAAGCACTTGTTTCAAAGAGCGGACTTCAATTGCCCCACCTTATCAAACAAAGGACTCATTCTAAGATGGGTAAGAAGTTCAAGGCGTGCATGGGACTGTCAGAACCCAATGCACAAAGGGAATACTCCCACACACTCATGGAGACAAGGAATGCAGGGACAGAGGCAGTATTGACCTCGTCGACTCTTGTCCTCTCCAATATAATAAACTTCAAAGAAGCGTTTCTTTGCGCGCAGCCAACACTTGGCATTCGATGGGTGTGAGTCTCTGAGGAGAATTTATGATTATGATCTGGCATTCGCTAACCTACAGGATAGAAATTAAGCATAAGCTGACCCAGATAATCTTCTCCCAGTAGACTTCCCTCGGAATCGCCAAATTGTGGCTGCGCCAACGTAACGACTTCTTTATGGACTGCGTGGCCAAACCGAGGTCCTGACTGAGGTGATGTTCTCCTCTGTCCTTGCACTTCTTTGTCTCCCTGAGTGTGTGGGAGTATTCCCTTTGGCATTGAGGTTCTTGACAGTCCCATGCACCCTGAACTTCTGTACCCATCTTAGAATGAGTCCTTTGTTTGGATAGGTGCGGCAATTGAATTCCCTCTTGAAACGTGCTTGTACAGTTTTGAACGATTTGGTCGAAAAGTACGTTTCCACGGACCATGATTTCTGTCGAAGAGTCCAAGGCATCTTGAAAAACTCTTGATTCTAATCTATTGGCAACTATTCACCTCTTTAAATCTGAAAAATGAAAGGGTTAACATCAAAATCGATAAAGTTATTAACACTTGTTTGGGTTGCATTTTTTTTGGGTCACCCTGTATTTGTTGCTGATATTGGTGTGATTGGTATTGGTAATGTTGTTGTTGTTCTGCAGTCACTAACTTATGCATCATCGTTTCAAGAACCATCTTCTTTAGTTTCTTCTGACTTGCTTCAGTAACAGTTTCAGCCTGGCTCTCATCCTTCTGCAATTATTAACAACAAAGATTTCTACTAGTTAATACAATTATTTGTGTAATCACACAGATAAAAACGTCTATCCGCAGTGAGGCTGCGATTTTAGTGTATTAAATGTCCTTTTCTTATTTGGTAATTGCTTAGCATTATGTTAAGTTTATAGCACCTTTACACCAGCAAATAGTCGTATCATCTCTTCATGGGCAAAATCCTTGATATCCATCGACTTTTTCTGAATCTTGTCTGCTGGGACGTCGTCGTTGAGCTGCATGTTTGCCATCCTTCTCTGCCTCTCATTCTCTGTCTAACGATCATAAACAGTATAATATAGTGGCTAAATTTGCCTGACATAAGACCATTTATGATACAACACTCGTATATTGCTCTTACTCGATCCTCTCCCAACTGCCAGCCCTTGGAGCAACTGGCCAGTAAGCTTGTCGTGTGGAATTCAAACTAGTGGCCAGTGTAAGAGAGTCATTGTTTATTGGGGATGGGGTTGATTAACTTCATACACCTACATAATGATAATGGGCTTGTCCAGTTAACCCAGTTAGACCCAGGTCCTGTTGTAATTGAGAATCATACTTCTAAACAAATCCCTATTTATGAACATGCCTAGTAGAATACTATGAACCATTTTTCAGTTTATTGGGTGTCCGACACATTTGATACTTCCTTTGGTGTATATAGGCTTGCGGTGTGTCATTTTGAAATGATTACCATCATAGTAATTAATACTAATTATTCAACAAAACGTTAGGTTGTGTGGGATTTGAACCCAGAACCACACACCCCAATTTTGTCATTATAACTGTAGATTAGTGGATTTTTGGTTAATTGGTGAGTTATTAGAGCCATCAAAGGTTCATAAGTATGGTGTACAGGAATCGTACCCAAGTGACAAATGAGCTGGTTATGGTATTAAGCTCCTTTTGCCTAATATTTTTTACTTTAGCATAGTAATCATTTTGATATTAACTCAGCAAAATCTTGCATCAGTCTTCCCTACAATATAAAAAAATTAATCATGAATAAAAACAATTAATCATTCAATCCCGATTCTTGGGAAGCCTTCAATTAGATAGTATATTGTTTTTAATGTAAGATGCCTTACACAATAATGGTAGATTGTCTCCGTGATCTGGTGCGAATCTGGCGGATTTTGCGGTCTTGCTCACTCTCAGATATGCCCTTGTCTTCTACTACAGGATCCCATGCCACCTGACATATACAAGTTAGTTAGCATTTTAGTGAAGCCGCCCTTTTCTGTACTCACTCTCTTTATATGATTAACTGAATGAACTAATGAAGAAGTGATAAAACTACAGTCACAATTAACCACGTTGATCATTTTTAATAAATCTGATCAGGATCAAGCTCATACACTGGTACAACCAGATTCTGCACGTAACATTGTATACATTGTCACCATAGATGTGAGCACATTTGATATTTTCGAACTGCAAGAGTCATATTGGCTATAAGTAGATTCATTATTATATTATACCATATTCCACGTGTAAAAGAAGATGTTTAATTTGAGTGTTACCTTTTTAACACCGTGGAATCGTTTCACTAGCATTTCTTCAACAATCTTAACCCAGTTATCCTTCACCTTCTCCTGGTACGGGTCGGTTCTGTTAAGTTCTGCTTCCCGAATCCTACTTGCCCTTTCCCTGGCGCACATATCATCCACTTGCTTTCCTACAGTCCTGTACACAATTGGATCATGATACGAAACATACACATATATTATGCACGTGACATATATCAACAATGTTCAAGCAAGCTCAACACTTACTACAATTTGCTTGCAACAATATGTACCGTAGGTATGTATGGCACATATATCACACATAAACTTATAGCCAAAATGTTGGCTATCAGATTATAATACACATGAAGCAGTAATGCAGACTGTTGTATTGTTACTATAACCGATTGGTTGTTGTTTTCGTTGTAATTACCCTGTGTTGCTGTTTTATTGTTATTATACAGGGTGACCCAAAAAAAATGCAACCCAAACAAGTGTTAATAACTTTTTTGATATTGATGTTAACCCTTTCATTTTTCAGATTTAAAGAGGTGAATAGTTGCCAATCAGATTAGAATCAAGAGTTTTTCAAGATGGTCCGTGGAAACGTATTTTTCGACCAAATTGTTCAAAACTGTACAAGCACGTTTCAAGAGGGAATTCAATTGCCGCACCTATC